TGTGTGACTATTCATAGATACAATGAGAAATGCTTTAAGCTCTAAAGCCAGAATACCTCACCAAGAAGCCACACTGATCCAAGACAAGAGCATTTAAAAACTTCCAGTTGGGAACTTGACTTATCTCCTTTGTGCCATATGTAAAAAAATAATCCCCGTGCCTTTCTCCCCCAAATATCAATTCTTCAGACTATAATAAAGCCTTTCCAATAACTGAAAGAATATTGTTGTTGTTAAGGATAATGGTGGCTGTTGCTTGGCCTTGGGAGTGTATGTTTATATTTTTAAGAAGCCTATATGGACTAAGAAATAATGTCTGCATATTTTTTAGGAATTTGTCAATGATTTCTTCAGTTATGTATGCTTATCTGTGTAAGACTGCATATTTTTGTTATTGTTGTCTCATATGGAGAGAAAACTGCATGACTGAGAGGCTTTATTTACATTAATCACCTCATGCTAAAAATGCTTAGAGAGCATTCCTGAGAGGAAAATCAGTTTTAAAATATCTTTATCACTGATACTGCATATCTGAACTGGCAAATTATATTGAAGGTATTTTTGTTCTGAAACTGATAAAAAAAATATCAAGCAGCAGTTCAAGTATCACAAAATACTGATGTATTATAACTTCATTCTTAGAAGGGCTGTCTTATACATGTTTTGTGAGGAGTTATGCAGAGATTTAAAAAAAATAGTATGCATAAAAGTGGGATCAGAATTACAGACTTAATTCCTAAGAAAAATTAAGTAATTATTGGAAGAAAAAAATGTAACCCACTGTGGCTTTTAAAGTATTTATGTATCATCTATAAATCCTCTTAAGAAGCTTCTTCCTTAAACTTGACCAAGAAGTTAAAATCTATTTTACGATATTGTTTTGTGGTAAACAAGGACAGGCTTGCTCCCCAACCTAGTAGGATTCAACCTTGTTAGTTTGGTGCTTTAATTTAGAACTTCTTCCCTGGTTATGCGGCCTTCAGTGAAATCTCTGCCTTTAACAGGCTAAAGCAGGGACCACTTATCTCAGTGGGTCCATTTTTCTTTTAAATTTTGCTGAGAAAAGCTAACAGCAGTAGTTCTAGTCTCCTAAGAGAAATAGTTCGTTTATTATACCCATTTTGCAAAATATTGCTCAATATCTACAAAGTTCTATAAAATAAACTGCTTTTGTCTGGATTTTTCAACTACAGTGGAAGAAACTTACAAGTTTCCAGAGAGCAATGTAAACTTTTTTCCTTAGGCAAATTAATGGAAACTGCAAAAACTGCAACATAAGTAACTATTGTAATTTCTTGATAGACAGATAAAATTGACAACATTTAGAGTATGTACCAGGTAGCCTGTTGTATTTTGATTTCCCAGTCACCATCATCCCTCACATTATAATTGTGTACTTGTCATAGTAAGGATGATACAAATACTGTATAATTATAGTGTCACCAGATTTGTATTAAAACTAAGGTACTCATCAGAAATGTGATGTGAATGATACAGACGTTTCAAATAGAGAAACTTTAATGTTTCGTTCGAACCTAAATCCTAAGGGAAAAATTCTCTTAGAGAATTTCTACTCTACACGTCATAATTTATATGATAAATAACTTTATGATAACTCTCAAAGCAATTGAGAAAAGTTACTATTTTGGTTGGAAGACAGTTGTAAGTACAATTGAGAAACTTGTACCTTTATAGGAAACATCTGAATGATGCTTTTATAGCAAATGTTGTATTCTCAGTTCAGATTCTGTGTAGTAAATGAGGTAATGCATTAAGTGTTCAGTAAATGCTTAGGATTCTACACATGATGGTTGTTATATTCATGTGTATTTGTATGATCATATCCACCCATAAATGGAGACTTCATATAAAAAGACTTGTCAAGATGACTTTGGATTCTAGTATTTTTGTCTGTTTTAAAAGCATTAACTTGTATTTCGTGTGTATTTTAATAGCCATGTGTTTATGTAGCAAATTTTAATGAAACCCCCAAATCCAGAATGTTTAAACACAGACCTCATACCAATACTGTTTTGTTCTTTACATAAACCACATAAAATTGACTAGGTAGAATTTATGTTGAAGGTCAACAAGAATTTCACTTGAAGCCTAGAAAGACTGAAGTAGCTATTTTTAAAGTTGCCCAACTGATATTTTAACTATTTATCTTCCCTTACTAATTAGTTCTTGATTAATAGTTGCATTAGCCTTGATAAAAAAATTAGGGTATAATTTTACCAAGTTGGGGTCAGATTATATTTATTCTGTTATCCCACAGCTGACAGACTTTATTAATAGGTGATACTCATAGGAGCCTCTGAGTTAGTATGTACATGTGTATATATGTAGATAAGACAGTATGGTTGTGTACACTTATATATACAAACACTGAGAAGTTTTGCAGTTTGTGATGATCAGAAAAAAAGCACATAAAAAATATTTGATCATTTTTATTCAATTCCAGAAGAGGTTTCATTGGAGGCATGTCTAGAGTTCTTTTTCCATTGGAAATACAAAATGAATATTAGTAATGATGACTTGTATACTGTCAAAATCTTTATAACATACCAGAATCTATAGTAATGATGACTTGTTTCTGTCAGAAAACAGAATAGTGGTAGAGATGAGTTTGTATAACCCAACTGTAATACCTCAGTTGGAAAGAGAATTTGAAGGTATGTTTTGTGAATCAATAGAAAAGTATGTTTTTGAGTGTGCATTTTCATGGATTTTTAATCCTTTTCCATGTTTTCCTTTATGCAAATTGCAAAAGTGACCTAACTTCCTCCTTTTCTGCTGTAAAATTCCTACTTACTTCACTGAACATATAAAAAATGAGATCTTCAGTAAACTTTTTTCCTAGATGATTGAAATAGAAGTGTCTACTTCATTTTAAAACCAGGTTTTTTGAAAGATGGTATAAATACTCAGGGAGAGTATTACCTTATCACTTTTGATTATTTGGGGTGTTTAAAGTGCCATAACTATAAACAGCTTTGATTTGATGATTTAGAGTAAATTTACTTGTTTAAAGGAGTTTCACACATGTCAGTGGTTGGACATTCATTATCTTTAGAAAGATGAAAATGCTCTGTGAACCGATATATTTTCTCTTAGTGAATATGAATTGTGTATGAATACACTGTCAAATACCCTTTTTGAAACTCAGGAAAGACAAAGGTTCAATTATGCTACTTTTGTCGACATGCAAACCAGGTGTGTGCTTCTTTTTCCTCTTCTCTGGATATGACAATAGATTTTTTAAATTACTGTGAGAACCCATCCATGCAAGAGCGGGGCTGAATTGTTTGTGTGTGCCTTTTATGTCTTGAGATTTATATGTGGAAAAAACATCTACTCCAGACTGTATTTTCAAAAAGGAGAGATTGCTGTTTGTGTGATATAAGGAATAAGATAATGTCTCTTAAGGCTTCCTATGGATTGCCTTCAGTTTAGTAAACTCAAGACACTAGTTAACCTCAACTGAATTTTGGCCTTATTAGAACTGATTGTGCATTATGTTAAAAGCCCAGGTTGACATCACCTCACCCCATTATTATTTGTAAGTAAACAGTCACTGTACCAAGTAACCAAAATGGGGCAGTTTGGTTGATCTGTAAGGCAAAATGGGTTTGACTAGCTAGCTATATTTGTCATATCTAATGCTAGGCACCAGAAACCACTTGAGCCAGGATGTGAACTGATAATTCCAGAGACAATTTCAACATACTTTTGACATTTTTTAATGTTTTTATGCAAGTTTTACATTTGTGTGATTGCTTTAGATATTAAACTTATGTAGTACGAAAAATGATCATCATAAGTAATTTTTAAGAAACAGCAAGTCATAACTTATTTGTTATTCCAAAGAATTTCTGTTTTAATGTTTTCAAAATAACTGCATCTGGATTTATGTACCTTAGTTCTCGAGTATGACTCCAATTTTTTTTTCAATCTAAATCTTGCCTTAGGCAAATTTCATGTTTCCTATGGAGTAAATTTCTCCTCCTTAATGAGCACCCAGTGTGTGGTTTGGCAGAATGAGAATGTTAAGGAAGGTTGGATGCTTGGAGTTTTATTGTATTTTCATTTTTACTTTTTGATATGTAGGTGCTTTTTAAGACATTCAGGTAAACAGCTGTCATAATTATTAAACTCTCATAAACATCATTTGCAATATCTACATCTTACCTTATTTTGTTCCATCCTTATATACTATTTTTCCTCTGTAAGCTTTTTCTTTACTTGGAAAAGCACCTAGTCTTCCCTTCCTCAACTCACATCCCTGTAGTAAATTTCTGTTGAATTTCCAGAGCTAAGATAACATACTTTTTAGAGTTGAACAAAGTGTAACCTGCTATACTGTAAAACTAGTACAGACCTGTGGTGACCAGATGTCATTTGCTTTCAAAGAGTCTTCACAGTGAAAAAATGCTTTGTATTTCATTGTTATCAGTTTACTTGTAGCACATTAATACTTATATGTTTTGTTTAGATATACTTCTTACATAGCTTAAATTTTTTAAAGTTGTATCTAATAAAATGCCTTTTAACCATTATTACTACTTGACTGTATGGTATTAAATTTTGTTTACCAAAAATAATGTGGTGGTATGTTATAAATGTCTATATTTCCCCAAGTAGTTACACAGAAGAAGGAACAAAGGGAAATACATATTTATATCTGTGGGTGTTCACTAGTATGATCTTACAATAACTGGAAGGATAATAAACTAAAATCAGTGTCATAAGGAAAGAAATGATGTTTGAGGACTGGTACTGCTAAGGTTGGTCCCCAGTGTTTACTATGCTGTGACTTTGGTCACAACTCTGTTGAGGTGTGAGGGTGGAACTTTCAAGAGATAGAATCTACTAGAAAGCCTGTAAGTCATGAGCCCTGCCCTTAGAGGGCATTTACACTGGCCTCACTGTGTGGGTTGGTTTCACCAGACTGGCTGGCTACAAGGCAGGTTTAATTGTTTCAGCTCCATTTTCAGCTTCTAGTCTTGCCATGTGGTCTCTCCCCTCACATGCACTCTTTAAAAAAAAAAAAAAATGTTACAGTGATGTACAGCAGGGCGCCGGTGGCTCCCACCTGTAATCCTAGCTACTGAGATCTAAGGATCATGGTTCAAAGCCATGCCAGGCAGGAAAGGCCATGAGACCCTTCTCTCCAATTAACCACCAGAAGTGGCACTGTGGCTCAAATGGTAGAGCGCTAGCCTTGAGCTGAGGAGCTCAAGGACAGTGCCCAGGCCCAGAGTTCATGACCCATGACCAAAAAAATAAGGTGATGTACAGAGGGGGTTTACAGTTAATGTAAAAAGAGTACATTTCCTTTTGGACAATGTCACCTTTTCCCTTGCTCTCTTCCAGTTTTTCCCTCCAGTCCTCACCCCCAAGTTGTATAGTTCGTTTTCCATATATTGTCTAATGAGTATCACTGCTGCATTTGTTTACCCTTTGCCCCTCCACTTCTGTGCCCCCTCACATGAACTCTTTTTTTTTTTTGGAGGGGGGGTTGTGGTGTGTGTGTGTTCACGCACCAGTCCTAGGGCTTGAACTCAAGGCCTGGGCGCTGTCCCTGAACCTCTTTGTGGTCAAGGCTGGCATTCTACCACTTCAGCGATAGCTCCTCTTCCAGCTCTTCTGAGTAATTTATTGGGAAGAAGAGTCTCGCAGCCTTTTCTGCTTCCAGCTGGGGTTCAAAACCATGATCCTTATATCTCAGCCTTTTTGTTTTGTTCTAGTTTTGGGTTTTTTGGAGTTTTTTTTCCTCTGTCGGTCATGGGGCATGAACTCTGGACCTGGGCGCTGTCCCTCAGCTCTTCAGTTCAAGGCTAGCTATCTACCACTGAGCCACAGCGCCACTTCTGGTTTTCTGGTGGTTTATTGGGGCTGGCTTTTTTCAGCCTCCTGAATAGCTAGGATTACAGGCATGAGCCACAAGTGTACGACTCTTTTTTTTGGGTCCAGTCATGGGGCCTGAACTCTGGGCCTGGGTGCTGTCCCTCAGCTCTTCAGCTCAAGGCTAGTGCTCTACCACTTGAGCCACAGCGTTCTTTTTGCTTATGTGGTGCTGAGGAATCGAACCCAGGGCCTCAGGCATGCAAGGCAAGCGCTCTACCACTGAGCCACCTTCCCAGCCCTTAAACAATGACCTCCACCATTTTGCAGTCCAGGCTGAGCTGAACAGACACTCATGCATAATACATGAAGACACTTGTACAAAAAAAATTTAATTGTACATGGTCATTTTAATTGTAGATGGAAGATTGGGGCTTTTGGTATATAAAAGGAAGTGGTTGGAAGTATGAAGTTACAATCTGTGGTCCATATGTAAACACAGGCTTGCTGACAAGTTGATCATTACTGTCTCTTAGAACTAGATAGCCCTGGGATAGATAGAACTAGATAGCCCTTAGCCAGCAAAGCCTCTTAAAGATGTCAAAACATCAAAAAATAGACAAAACAAAATTTGTGTTTGTGTTTTGGAATCAAGGTCTTACTCTGTAACCCAGGCTGGCCCCAGAGCTGCTACTTTTTTTCCCTGTCTTTTTTTAAAAACCAGTCCTGGGGTTTAGACTCAGCCTGGGTACTATCCTTGAGCTTCTTTTGCTCAAGGCTAACACTCTACCATTTGAGCCACAGCACCACTTCTGGCTTTTTCTATGTGGCACTGAGGAATGGAACCCAGTGCTTCATGCAGGCCAGGCAAGCACTCTACAACTAAGCCACATCCCCAGCTCCAGAGCTACTCTCTTAAGTGTTGGGATTATAGATATGCACTACCACTTTCAGTTCTTGAAAGTACCTGTGTAGTAAACTAAAGAGTTAAAAGATGAGCTAGTTGAAAGTGGCTCTTGCCTTATAAATCTCACTACTCAAGGCTGAGATCTGAGGATTGTAGTTCAAAGCTAGCCAGGACAGACAAATCTGAGAAACTCTCTCCAGTTACCTAGCAAAAAGCCAGAACAGGAGGTGTTGCTCAAGTGGTAGAGCACCAGCTGTAAGGTGATAAACTAAGTGAGGTAAGGATATGAATTGATTTCAAATTTGAAAGAAAAGAAGCATAGGGCTGGGAAGGTGGCTCAATGGTAGAGTGCTTGCCTTGTATGCATGAGGCCCTGGGTTCGATTCCTCAGCACCACATAAGCAAAAAGAAAAAAGCCGGAAGTGGCGCTGTGGCTCAAGTGGTAGAGCTAGGCTAGCCTTGAGCTGAAGAACTGAG